ATGGGTTTATATCCTCTGAAGATTTGAAACTTAAATTTGATATAAGAGGTACACATTTAGATCTTGGAGATGTTATATACATTCTACCTTGGAAAAGACTCTAAAGGAATATGTATACGTTAGCACCCTCCTCAAGGGTGATATGGATTTCAACGCTCGAGCCGTCAGGCGAGAGCATTGAATCCATATCACCCGCAGAGGAGGGGTGCTAACCTATTTATACCACGTGGGTGCCGAATGGACTCGTACATTGCGTGTTGCACGTGCGTTTCCTGCACCGACCAGGTTGTTATCCACATATCAACCTCTGCACGTGCAGATAGAAGGTTGATACACAGAAAATCAACCTGCCAGAACAATGGAGATAACATACCCTAGTGGTATAAAGATACATAAACATCAATGGATTTCATATAACCAAACAGGTTCAGGTTTATTCTATGATAAATTGTTATCTGAAAATGTTAAACCTCATATTTGCCAAAAATGGGAAACATTATTTGATTGTATTGATTTTGATTGGCATATGATTTTTTATATTTGCAGAAAGAATTTAAGAGATTTGAAACAGTTAGATTTTAAATGTAAATTTCTGCACGGAATTGTTTATACAAAAAAAAACCTTCTATAATGAATCTTGTTGGCAATACAATATGCTCTTCTTGAAATGTTTCTAGTGAGACCTTATGCTGTGTATATTGGGAATGTGATGAAACCACAACTTTCTGGAAGAAACTTGAACAGTGGATTACGAACGTATTCAAGAACTTAATTTGACAAAAGCTTTGATCTGGTTTGGCATTTTAGGTAAGAACCCATTACTGAACCACATAATCATATCTGCTAAGAAATATATTTACACTGGCTCTTTGACAAAAACAATTTCAAACGTTGATAATTACTTACGGATATTGAAAGACATATTCAACACTAAAAACTTCATTTCCAGAAGAAATATTAATTTTGAAAGCTTTTTAGCCAAATGCTTTCCTCTCAGCACAGTATTTAATCCTGAATAGCTATTTAACCAAAACATATTAGTGTTTATATTGATATTTAATGTATACTATTCCAAAAATGAAACGCATAACCCAGAAATTTGTTGCGAAACTGTTGTATTTTCAAACATGTATAACTCGTCCACAAATAAACTTTAAGAAATGAATGTTTACATCAGTTTAGAAGAAGGTAATGTCCATACAATCAGGTGGGTAATTTTAGATAACGGAAACGTTGAGCGCGATGGTGATCACATAGCATGGTCCCGACGTCGGGTCTCCTGGGCGTCACTCCAATCTCTCTCAACCTGTTCCGTACAGTTTGACCGGATATCCTCCGAAGTCCAGGCACCCGGGCTGCTGTGCTCTCACCCCTGGCAGTACGAGCACGCAAATGTAGTACCCGGATGTACCGATCTTGGGCTGCAGTGGTGACTCGAGGTCTGCCTGTACCGGGGCGGCCATTTGTTATAGCTGTTTGGTTGGAACGAGCTGCAAGCCGTACTATCGTGCTCAGACTAACATTCAGACGCCTGGTAACAGAAAATTGGTAAACTCCAGCGTGCATTCTTTCAATGGCGATGTTCCGTGTCGCAGCGTCAAGACATGGCGTACTGATTTGACCTTGAAATTCCTTCAAAACGGATGCCAATTTCCGAAAGTAATTTAGATTTTTATAGCCAGACAGTGCATGCCCTTGCTGCACAATATCAACTGGAAGGTGATTTCTATTGCGTTGTGGCGATGCCTTTTTAATTCTTGTAAGAAATCTCATCAACATCAACATGTTCAGGTGAAGTCGACTTTTCACTTGTGCAATTGTGTCAACACAATTGTTTGAACACAATCGGTAATTAATAGATATTTAAAAATACGAAAAGCCTATGCGTTTCTTTGTTGGTATAGTATATTATCTCTATTGAGACCACAAGCTGTTATGTACACATATACTTCTGTATGCTTGTATTCAACGTATTGGGAACAATAAAAAAATAAATAATAATAATATGTAAAAAAAAAATCGAATTTGTGTCATCATAACTATATTTGATTTTAAACATTTCCATTTATTATTCCCTAATAGACAGACATAATGCAAAAAAACGGGTCTCGTATTGATGTGTCTTCTTTGCAATCTTTTGTGCTTCGCTGTTGACGAACAACGTTGATGCCATTCAACGCTGATGCCGTACAAGAATTATGTTGCGTTGAGTTATCCCGACTCTATTATGTCCCGGTCTGACAGAATGACAAAGCTGCAACCATGCAATGTCTTGAGACAGTTTCAGAAATTGGGGTTACAAACTATGCGAAATGCGCGGTAATATTTCAGGAAGTGGACTGAATAACCGACATGGGATGCGTTAAAGAGCGTCACTACATGACGTACGTGAATCACACGTCTTCACATTCTGATAGAAGTTTCTTCAGCAACTCTGCACCCAAACTGACCAACGGCGTCCATGCATTACGACCATCACTTTCACCGTGTGACATCGGGCCAAGGTTGTTTTACAGCGACTCCATCTGAGCATGGCACACGTCAGTACTATCTTCCTGACAACTTGCCTCTAGAGTATCCGGGTATGCTATCCACGGTCGGCAATTGAATTTCGGATGACGTATCGTGCCGTATCACCGGGTAACACAGGACGTTATCATGACAGCTGTTACCTGTTGAATAAAGCTCGCTGATTTATTGGATCTAGTCCAGAACCTACAAGTGTCATGTTGTAGTTAATGATTTGGAAACGTATTGATGAAATACGTTCGGTCTCACACTACAAAATGCTGTATTTCTTACCACTTAGACCCTCTATTGATAACCCACACTGGAAACTGGCTTTTCTGATTTGTTCTGTCTATGTTGTGCTAATGGCAATCAGGTCAGTAGGGCTATGTTATTCTGTAGCATCGTGTGACCTCTTCCTTGCAGTGCAGTTCGTCCGCTTAATGAACTGAACAAAAGATCGCCATTTCCCATATCGACGGCAGAGGCAACAAAAAGATGCTTTCAGTGATGAATATGGTTGGAAAGGGTCAGAGCACATATATAACAATGTCTAATTTCCTTCATCAACACCGTCCATCAATGCCTTGGTCGTGCCAACATATAATTAGTAGTGATTCTTTGACTGAGGTGGCCACAGTAATGCACACATTCTGGTTGGTTTGTCCTCTTTTGACATGTATCATTGATCGATAGGTGTAAATGTGTTTGGTGACGAAAGGGGTCGTTGGTACAGTCAACACTGACCTTTGAAAAATACCATAATCTTAGTTAAAAGTTAAAGAGCCGGCCATGTGCAACATCTTTAACAGTATACAGACATTCATGATGATCAGCTACGGATTTCATACTAAAGGCAGAAAGGCAAATTCGTTGAAAGATGTTTCATAGATACTAAAGTGTTTAACATATGAGATGCTGGACTTGCTCATGTGTATGATATGGGACATTTATGGGCAGGTCCTTGAGACAGGAAGTAACCATCTCCATGGGCATCACTGTGATCATCCCCTTGTTCATCTGTTTCTTTATGCCTTGGCGTCGGACTTTCTGCCATCAAAATCTAAGCAGTGGAAGTTGGCCAAGAAGGTCAGTTTAAGCTTCCGGCATCTCGTTGACCAGATAGCCTTCACTAGTAATCGAAGTCCCCTCCAACTATTTACGCACCTGAACTGGAAATCGGCGACCAGTGAAATCTCCTCACCTGTTTCGTATTAAAATCGTGGCCTAGAGATTTATAGTGGCTAAACATGACAATGTAACGTCACAATGCCTTTTAGAAAATGTTGAGATGTTGCAAATGTTATGTGATTATACTATCTCAGTAAAGTACATGTTCTTGTACTTATGGATTGAGTCCCATCTCGAACCCACGCCCTACTGAGAAAATCTAATCTCACATATATCATATGTCCCACTGTGAACAAGACTATAGCAAGAGGTGTGACCTTTTCCTTCGTGCCGAACGATGGGGCCGTCTGTTCAGGCCTTTGGTGTTGCACAACTGTTCAGGTGTAATCAAGTATGTCCTTTCTTCGAAGGTTTGAGTGTCGTGTGAGTCTTGCTCGAAAATAGTTTAAACAAGGGTTACAATATTCAAGGGCATATAAAAAAGATTTCAAAAGCACAGGTGGGACAGGATATGCTCGCCTTTTCACTTGGTTCCATCTCTAATTGGTCGTGATTCATAGATTTAATGTTTATCATTATAATATCACATTTATTATTGTCTGAATAGCAAAGAGGACGAGAGATGTCCTGTGATGGTTTTATTGCTTTAATTTACCGTTATGTCTACACTGAAAACTAAATACTTATAAACTAAATGCTTCCAATATGCTTTGAAATATAATGTGTGTTTTGTAATCTCCTTTTGTAAGGTTACCAAACATGTCCAATAGTCCTCATTCAGTGCGACTATACGAGAGACGGAGTACGGAGAACCACACTGAATATAGCCAGTGCAAGGAGCAGAGCACTTACCAAATTCTGTTTTATCTCAAAACAAATTACCTTCGATAATAGCGAGATTTATTATTGAAACCACTCCTTTACATTTCTTTCTAAACATTTAGAAACAGGAAATGTCGCTAAAACTGCAATTAATGCAGCAACTTGCCACAAATCGGTCGTGCAACATCACTAAAACGTTGGTGTAGGTATCTGTCGGTCAGCACGCGCCTTGTTCGTGACGACGCTCCTGTCCACCATGTCCACGTTAATATTACATGTTTGCTTCCTCGCTGAGTGGACAAAGGTCTCGCTCTGTCCCTTCTGCACGTGCTCAACTCGAAGGACGCCTGGCAAATAATGAACTTTATCAATAATTGATCCACATTGTCGCATAACACATTTACCGCCATACCAACTCTGGATGAAACATATCCATTGAAATTGATTAGTGTTTGATAAGACAAGCCCTGGTCGAGTATGTGATGAAATCTCATTACGGCTGTTTGGGTTGATGGTTACAGCAGGTGAATGGAGTCCATGAGCTCCTGAATCTACAAGAATCATTTAAGAATAATGAGACGCTAGCGTGAGCAACGGCACGCTCCATGGATGTTTATGTTGCCTACGACCGCTCCATTTTGGTGACAACGTTGACGTTACACGCACTTTAACAGCACCTACGCCGACGTGAGACAAACAAGAGCGCGGACCTCTGATGCTGGTGCCTGACCTGAACTTGTTAAACACAGGCACGACGGAGGGTGTTTAGAGATTAATTTCCATCTACAGCTGTTGCTACAAAGACGTCTCCGTGCACGCCTCTGACACAGCTACATCATGCTGGATTGTAGATACGTTAAATGAAGCTGTTTTCTATATTTGGACATTGGAAATTAATTGTCATCGATCTTTTAGACAAGGACAAGAAAAGTCTTCGATCTTTGGATTAAGAACGCAACTGTCTTCGATTCTTTGGTACGATAAATGAACTGTCTTCGATCTTTGGGCAAACAAAGACAGTCCCTGTTATTTGATTACAGGAAAGAAATGTCCTCGATCTTTGCATGTAGTGACGTAACTGTATTCGACCTTGGATTGTACTAAGGTAGCCTGTGATCTTTATATCAAGTAAAGAATTTTCAGTCACTGGCTTCAGGTAATAGGTATTCGTCTCTGACCCTGCCGTGGAAGGAACATTTGACTCCGACTCTGATATAGTAAAGGATGATTGGACTCCACACGTGGTACGATGATAAACGTCCACTGATTGTAACAATAAATAAGGACGTCGCCACCCAGTCACCGCGTTCGACTTTTACCATTTAAACAGATTGCTGCCTCCTTTACTACAAGTTGTAGAATTGCTTCCGTCTGAACTGTGTATCGAGTGTCAGTATGTCCTAGCGTGGAAACCTGCTGCAAGTACCACTCCCTAAAACCTGGACATTCGGTGTACACAGGCGCCTCCTGCCGGCCATATCTAGCATTCAGCCTTCAGACTTCTTGAACCGGCAACACCCAGGTGGGCCTCCGAGATATAGAATGGGGGTAAGTGTTAAGTCGATCTCTCCTCTCTTGTGTGTTTACACTGTGTACTTTGTATTCTGTGAAAGAAATTGTCAATTTGAAGTAATTACCGTTAAAAGAAAAATATGTTCATGTATATAACGTGCATGTTGTACACTTATATTAGACAAACGCTTCAGTGTGTATACATATCCACATACATGTACTCATAAACGCACTCAGACGCATATGTACTCACACGCACGCACACACATACTGGCACGCATGTACTGAAACACAGACGCACGCTAATACACACACGCACACATACAAGCCTTCATCTACACACTTAGACATATACACTCACTCACACGTGTAGGCGCACGTACACCCCGTAACACACGCACGCGCGTGCGCACGCGCTCGCAAACACACACATATAGACACACACTCATATCAATAGACACACACACATATATAAAGACACACACATATTGCTAACTATGATTGCAAGGTCTGACTATATTACTATCACGCACACTACCGTTATTCTGTTATTCATTTTCTCGACTATCACTGAAGACGTTTCTAAGCGACTGGGCTATTCCTCCTCAACATCAACAACACCCACGTACCCGCATCCTCACCTATACTCGTAAGGTTTCATTGTTTCAATAAACTTCGATATCCAGAACTGAATGATGCTTGCATGATTACACTTGTGTTAATTGGCACGGCTCCCACGGCCAAAGCTATGATTACACAATGCCATTTAGAAAGTGGTCAAATGCAACATATGTTATATTTGGGATTACACTTTCTTAGTATATGTAATCATAGCTTTCGGGCCGTTCGCCGTGCCACTAATCACTTATCAGAATCAGTACAAAAGCCGGCAGTCTGGCACTACTGAAGCTGTCCCGACTTCCATTTTAATGAATCGCGTAGCTGAAAACGGTAAACATGTGGCGGCTGACTTTGTGTGCTGGCGATAAAATGTTAACTCTGTGGCAGTACCCTAGTTCGAATCCCAGATGATACGTGGGTAACTCTTGGTAAAGTACTAGAATAATGCTTTTACCTAGAAAGTGTAATCTAATACTATATGTTACATTATTGACTAAATGGCATATGTAATCATAACTTTCGGCCGTGGGAGCCGTGCCAATTAACACTTATCAGAGGGGTACACAAAGCCGGCAGTCTAGACTACCAGTTGTCCGACTTCCATTTTTGTGGAAGTCGCGGTAGCTGAATGGGTTAGGCGGCTGACTTTGTGTGCTGGCGATTAGGTGCCTGACTCTGAGGGTGTGAGTTCGAATCCCGGATGGGGCTCAACTCAAAAAGTACTAGAATTTGTACTTTACTAAGAAAGTGTAATCCCAAATATAACATATGTTGAATGATGCTTACATGATGAAATTTGGAAACAAAACACGAAGTGACTGCAATGCGAACCCTTGTTTATACATACGTTGGATATTTTACAGGTGTACCTACTGCCATGTTAGAAAGCATGGATGACTAACAAATGCCTGACAAGTGTATCAAGGAAGGACGCCCCTTCTTGAAGCGCATTGTTATTTGCGTCTCCCATGTTCTGTCATATATCTCCCCCACAGAGTGAAATGAAATTCACAAACACATTCTGTGAAACTTAAATGAAGCATAAGCCATTAGCCTTGTCATAGCACGCACCCCGACCCTTTCTGTCCGACAAAGCCTGGTTCTGACTCAACAATAGCAACCTAACACTGCACAGAACAATGATAAACACTAAACAAACACGCTTGTTATTAAACAAGGCCGTGCTCAAACTCGTCAATATCTCCCGTGATTTAGAAAGTGTTGTTTGACGTCGCCATTGATCTGAATGAACGATATCAGTTGTCTGACGTGTACAACATAACGCTGTGGGTTGGCATCGATACGTGGGTAGTTGTCTGGCGTTTACAACATAATGTGGTGACCTGATATGTGGGTAGTTGTCTGGTGTGTACAACATAAATCCGATGCGTCGTTCACAACATAATGTGGTGTCCTGATACGTGGGTAGTTGTCTGGTGTGTACAACATAATGTGGTGACCTGATGCGTGGGTAGTTGTCTGACGTGTACAACATAATGTGGTGTTCCTATACGTGGGTAGTTGTCTGGCGTGTACAACATAATGTGGTGTCCTGATATGTGGGTAGTTGTCTGGTGTGTACAACATAATGTAGTGTCCTATTCCTGATGTCACAGATATGCCTGACGTTGAACCCACTTTGCCTCGATGCACATGAACATCCGGGTTACAAATCATCTTCAGCAGCCATGCTTGTTGGAAACGTCAACCAACGGGTGGTCAGGCAGCCTGATTTGGTTGATACCAATGTGTAGATAGTTACTCATGAAACTATTCAATTATTTGGACCATACTTGATTGTTTACTGGTCGCCTTTATTTGAGGGTGCAGCGTCAATCAAGAACAATGCCTCTTTTGTTGGATGGTCCAAGATATGCTGGCCAGTACAATCAGGACAATGAAATGGGTTATGGAATTCTCGAAGCGGCGTTGTATGTTTCATACTTCCACCCAAATGGGGTGGACACTGAGATGACCATATATCGAACAAGCGGTATGTATATCCTCAGTTTTCCTCAGCGTTCACATATACGTGTCAGTTTTTCCAAGCATTTGATTGGCTGATTATGAAGCCTGAACTATACGGAACTGCCTTTACTATATTCATTTGTTCATATTTCGATCACTAGAACACCGTTGCTGTTTATGGTTGTAGTACATCCAAACAAGTGAAAACGAAATATAGTAATAGCCCGCTTATATGGCGCTCATATCCAGGCGCATTGCCTGCTCACAGCGCTACGTACATTACAGTATAGGTATTTTATCTTTTTGTGAATTAGTAATGCCGAAAAACAACACAATTTTAGTACAGTTCAGCACATGCAGCTGATTGCCTATTTCGCGGGACAGACCATAACAAATCATAAAAACCTTCAAAAGTACACACTAAAAATTTCCTAAAATGTTCTGAAGGGGACCGGTAAGCAACTGTCATTGCACCCGTGAAGATCCGGGTTAGAATTGGTCTTAAGCAACCCATGCTTGTCATAAGAGGCGGCTAACGGGATCGAGTGGTCAGGACTTAGTTGACACATGTCATCGTTTCCCAATTGCGTAGAATGATGCTCATGATGTTGATCACTGGATTGCCTGGTTCCGACTCGACTACAGACCGCTGCCATTATAGCTGAAATATTGCTGAGTGCGGCGTTAAACAACATACAACCAACAACCAACAACTGTCCTTGCAGAATGATACGTCGCCGGTGACGTCAGCTAGCGCCGAGCTCTATGGCCGCTTACTTTTAGCGTTCATGTGCTATATCGTTAATAGACATTTAACACAAAGTGAACGGATTCAACCATTACAACCAACAACATTGCAAACCATACATGCATGTAGTTTTGAGCTAGCATCTTCTTTCCAAGGACACAAACTTGATATTATATTGAAGTGAGTGCTTTATCTTGTAATCACTGACTGTATTTCTACAAAAACAAAACTCAGTCAGTCAGTCAGTGTATTTCTACAACACAGCCAAATGAGTTATAATACCAGCGTTCACAAATCGCATTAGTCTGCAAAACAAAACCAAGGACTTCACTGTCAATGGCGAACACTTTAACAACTCGGCTACGCTATCTGCAACCCATTTTGATAGAATGAAAGAATTGAAATAACGTGTGACTGCAGGAGACTGACTGCACTCTCCGCCCTGACGCTTGACGATCGATTGCTAGCACCAGCCGGGATGACACACTTTAATCAGCAGGTAGAGTACGAGAGTCGATCTCGGCAACTGATGACCCATCCCCGTCCTAGACGCAGTCAGCGGCCAATTGGACGACAGTCAGTCTTATCTCGATTTACTGCTGCAGGGTAATAGTTTTAGAAACGCAAGCATTATGTTTAATAACCGGTTTCAAACAAAACCTGTGCGTGCGCTTTCTTATGAATAGTGAAGGAGTAGGGTGAGGGGGTGTTGCTTAATTTGAAAATGCTTCTAAAGGGAGGTTGTTCTTTGTTTGCAAAATTTGTTTGTCTCCTTTCAGAATAAAATAATTAAACTGGGAGGGGGGGGGGACGGGGGGTTGTGTTTTATAAAATCCCAACTCCCTATAATTAGTTGTCTTGAGGATATATAATGTTACTAGTCTCATGACCGTTGTCATCAACCATTTGTGACAGTATTGTACTTGCAAAAAGGACTAAAAACATGAAACAATATAGCCATTGTTAATGAATTGTTTTGCTTTTTTCATATTATCTTCGGTAATTCTTATCGAAAGTGATTAAACGTCCACGGTTACTAAGCAACCAAGCACAACTCAGTATCTGAGCTCTAAACAAGGTCTATCATTCCGTGGCTATTGCGACCGACCGACATATGCTTGCTTAACCGACCAGTGTTATTAATCCCCGCGCTGTAATCAATGAACCGCAGGAGAGATATACAAAACAATACTTCCCGGAGTAGATAAGCCGCCTGGTAGAGAATCGGGAAGAGGATTATGTCAAGAAGGAACCAATTGGGATTAATATGGTGTGATTAACACTTACTTCATACAGCGGTGAGATAGTACCCAGAGGTTATCTCCGTTAGTTGTGCTTGTATGCATTATTACCACACGATTTGGACCTGCGACTAAGTCCTGACGGTTCGCATGGACATGTGACTTGAGGAATAAGGACAGTCTGAAGTATACATTGTCCTGACGTTTGGGATACAGGTCCAAACGTTCGTCGTTCGCATTATGGAGGTATGTACACGTTGCGAGGTGCCCGTAATTACAAATATGATTATTAGATTTAGTTTCAAAATCTAAAATAACGTTATTATGATCATATAAGGAACTTAAAGGATATTTAATTCCTTTGAACAATAAATAGTTGCGTCCCAAGGACAAGGCATAGTGCACCTCTCATTTGCCACGCTATATATTGGGTTCGACTCCCTTATTTATGCAATTAC